ACGTTCAACGGACAAGACTATTTTGAAAAATCAAACTTATCAGGACTGATGGGTAGCACTAAATCTTCCACATCTATCTGAATGAAGGACAAGAGGTGACGTGATTATTATAGATAGGGTGTTATATTGTAATTTTTCAACGACTCAACCAGAACACGATACAAAAGAAAACAACAATTAAGTAGCAATTTTTCTCAAATAAAGTGTTCAATCCGTGGAACCACCTGCATAATGATATTGTGATATTGTTCAAGAAAAACATATGACATATTAAAAATGAGTGACCTAATTTAAGTCAGTATATTTAATTATATATTTAATTGAATTCATGCCTTGTATACAGAAACAATATTTTGATTTATTTTTTTAAACAAATTTCAATTGGATGTTAATCCTCACATATGTAAGCATTTGATTGTTAAATAGATAAGCTATTTGTGATAGAAAACCTTTTTGGATCGGAAGCGAATTTTATTTCCACATTATAGAATTTTTTAAAGATTTTACACTGGTCTGAAAAATTTCATTTAATAGTTATTTATTGTATATGTGTTTTAAGTAGCATTTTATTCACACAATAATGTTTAAACGCGAGAACGTAGTTCGAGTTTTGAAGAAGCTAAAGAAGCAATTTTCCAGTTATTGCCAGCGAAATCCTGGGAACATTACGAAAAAGTTAACGAATGGAGGGAAAAACGGAGAATAATGACAATAAATGAAGAAGTCATGCTAGGGTATTTTTTAAATTTGAAGAAAAAATGTGCAATTTCATCCATGTGGTCGAAGTATTCGAAGTTGGAGGCTACTATAAAGGTTTACAAAAATATAGATATTGGAAAATATAACAAGCTTACTGCTTATTTGAAGAGTGAATCGAGATGATATAAAGCAAAAAAGCTGAAAAGAGAACATATTGAAGAATTTTTGACTGGGGTTTTCGATCAAGAATATTTAATGGTTAACGTAATATCTCTTTACCTTTTACATGTTGTTAGGTATATAATGAATTTTGGAATAATTTAGGTTGCACTAATAACACCAAGACGGGCATTTCAAGAAAATTTACAATTATAGAAAAAGAATTTTGCATGAATGCTGTTGAAATATGCAGAAAATATATTTCTCTGCGCCCAATTCGCAAACAGATTCTTTTTAAGATACATTAATCAAAAATGTACTTCTCGGCCTGTTGGAATCAACACATTGACGAAGGTACCCTCAATAGTTGCTTCATTCCTGAATATCGCAAATCCAGAAGCAAACTGGCCATTGTATGAGCCGCACTTCAACAACTTCATTAGCCAATAAAGGTGCGGATCTTACAACCATCAAACGGCATGGTGGATGGAAGAACTTCTCTGCAGCAGAAAGTTATGATGAGGAGTCCAGATCTAACAAACTTAATATTGCAAAGAAAATGCAAAGAAAATATAGCTGTTCCTTAAAAGAAGAAACATCCATAACTTGTGCAAATTCTTCACAAACTTCGGCAGATGTATGCGTTCCGAAAATGATGGCAACAATGCTACAAGGGTTGTTATTAACGGAAAGGAAGTTAAATGTGATAAAACAAAAAACCACATGTATATTACTATAAATGTAAATGTTAATGTTAATAAGTAAATAAATTAAATTTGATTTATTATAGGTTTATTATTTTTTCATTATTCTACTAGTGAAATAAAGTTATTTTATTTCACTATAGTCTGTTTGGAAATGAAAGAGAGTAATTAAACCCCGAGATGAGAACCGGCCATGGGCGTGCTAATATTTCGTTTCAGATAATTATCAGGTAACTCTAATGCTAACAAAAATGACAGGGATTGGAAAATCGACTATCTACAGACTTTTAAAGGAAACAAAAAATGAACAAGATACTGTAAATCCCCCAAAATCATCTACAGGGAGGTCAAAAGTCGTTATAGATGATTTCTTCAAAAATGTCATTCGCAGAAAAGTACACTAATTTTATCTTAAAAAATAAATACCAACGCTAAACAAAATTTTAAGTGAACTTTCAGAGGACAACGATTTGCCAAAAATCAGTAGAAGCAAATTATGGGCCGTCTTACGAGAGTTGAATTTTTACTGGGAAAAGCAGAACAGGAAGTCAGTTCTTATCGATAAAGATGAAATTATTTGTTGGCGAAGATCCTACTTAAGATCAATTAGAAAATTTCGTGACGAAGGGAGGAATATTTATTATCTAGACGAAACTTGGGTCAACGAAGGATATACTGTAACAAAAGTATGGCAAGATGAAAATGTAAAAAGTTTTCGACAAGCATTTTTGGATGGACTTTCAACAGGGTTCAAGGCACCTTCAGGTAAAGGGCGAAGATTAATAGTGACACATATAGGTAGTGCCAGTGGTTTTGTAGATGGCGGTTTACTTTTATTTGAATCTAAAAATACAGGTGACTATCACGAAGACATGAACGCAGATGTTTTCGAAGAGTATTTTACACAGATGTTGGATCTTATTTCTCCGGGGTCTGTAATTGTCATGGATAATGCCAGTTACCATTCACGGCAGACCGAGCGGACGCCTACGACTGCTTGAAGGAAAGCCGATATAATTCAATGGTTATCCGGAAAAAACATTTCTTTTGAAACAAATATGGTGAAAAAGGAACTTTTGACACTTGTCAATCTTAATAAAGATCAGAAAAAATATGTTATCGATGAAATGGCAACAAATCGCCAAATAACGGTACTACGGTTACCACCTTATCACTGTGAACTTTACCCAATCGAATTAGTCTGGGCGCAGGTAAAAGGAGATGTAGCGCGAAATAATACGACGTTTAAATTAAGTGACGTGAGAATTTTGTTAAAAAATTCCTTGGAACGACTAACTGCAGATAACTGGCAAAGATGTATACATCATGTACAAAAAGAAGAGGAGAAAATGTGGGAACTCGATAATTTAATTGACGTTACTGTGGAACCTATCGTTATCAATCTAGGAGACGAATATAATTTATTAGAATATTCAGAGGATGAATTTTAATATACCTACTTTTTTATTTTCTTTATTGTGCATTTATACAACACTACATTTACTCACCATAATTTGAATTTTCAAAATACATATATTTTTGTGTGGAATAAAAGTCTATTCATTAAATTTAAATAAATATTTTGATAACAATATTGAATAATTTTATTTGAATTACTAAAAACCCTCTTAACCCGGTTATGATGTTTAAAGTAGCCTCATGTTTTGAACTGCTGTTTTTATATTGTTTACTTATAAGAGAAATGGACCGAGAAATTGAAGCGGCATAGACAAAGACGGATTGTCGGGGATTAAATTTTAGCTACTTGCTACAATTTAGTACAGTCCGATCGCACAAAGTTTTTTTAAAAGTACACCTCATCTATACGGAAAATGCATAATATAAAAATATTGAATATAAGCACCAGTACTACATTTATTTACGATTTGCATACGTAATGAGTTTTTATTACTCTCTTTCATTTCTAAACAGACTATAGTGGATAAAGTATCACTTAGACGGTGTCGATAAAAGTCCGATTATAAGGTGATTGTGATGAAATACGTTTTTTTACAGTTATATTGGAAAAAAATAGTTTGTTACAATAGTTTTTGACACTGTATAAAAACGTTAACCGTGTGGAGATGACTTGTAAAAGGAAAATATTTAAATTAATATAAAAAGATTAAAATGGCAAATTAAGCTATTAAAAAGCGTCAATCAAATCTAGCATCTATTTATAGAGTTGATATGTGGTGATTCTCAAGATATTTAATCAGTACTTAATCAAGTAACGGTTTTGAGATATAGGCTTTCAGTTTTCCTTTATAATCTTTGACATATTTTCAACACATGGACAATAAAGCAAATCTCTTATAATTCGTTTAGTTTGAAGAGAGCTTTTTAAATTAATTGATAAATCTTAACGACAAAAGTACTTATTTTACGAGAGTATTGTGTAATAATAGGAAGAATTTACTATATAAAACATGTTTTTAAATTAAGAATGTTTCAATAATATTTAAATGTACGTTCTGCAGTTTCAATCAAAGAATATATACAACAAAATTAAATATTACAGTAATTATTTATAAATGTATTAAGCTAATTAAAATTAATTCAAAAAAATTTCTTTTAAAAAAATTATAGAATTTATTTGAATTAGATGAATATATTTATAATATAGCAAAAAGATAAAGCTGATATAAACTATATATAATTGCAAAATTGGTTTTATAATATTGTTTTTTAGAAGAAAGTTATAAAATTGAATCGGCTTAATTTATTTATACAGTTTTCATAAAATTACAGTTAGAATTTCCGAGTAAAAAAATATTTCAAAGACGAAGAAACACGGAGAAATTTTTCAGATTTCTTTTATTTTCTGTCAATTTATAGTATAATTTGAGGCTACGGAGTAAGTTTATCATTTTCAATAAATCACATTTTGAAATTTTACATCTATTGACCATATATACGAATAACAGTACCTGTTTTGTTGTTGCAAAAAAGGTTTTTCTATGTTAAAAATACAGATACTTATGTAATTAATTGGAAAATACCAAAAGTTTTATGTCAAAGGACAAAAACAAAATGTCTGTGATGTTTCTTAATATCAAATTTGAAAATTGCTTTTTTTCAAGTTAATTTTTGTCAAATTACGTTATTTCTTTGATTTCCAATATTTAAAGAAATAACTGCATGGGCAAGTTATAAAAAATAAAATACTCCATTAAAATCATAAAGCAATTAGCTAATATTTGTATTCCTAAAGTAATAATATTAATAATATAATTATTAACACGCAAATCAGCCATAGTACGCTAATTAATATATTTTTTCATTTTATAAATTTTATATAAAAAGTAAGATTTCTATATTGATTGAAGAGTTAAACAGTGTTCTTATAAACCGTATAAATAAAAATGCTTTTAGCATGCTAAAATCGCATTGCAATGCGACTCTTTTCATGCCTAGATAATAAACAAATTTCCTCACCTCAACCTTTTGGCCTCATCGATGAAAGGTCTCTTCTCAGTCTCACTCAGCAGCTTCCACTCGGCCCCCAGTCTCTTAGAGATCTCCGAGTTGTGCATCTTGGGGTTCTCCTGGGCCATCTTCCTCCTCTGTCCCCTGGACCACACCATAAAGGCGTTCATGGGCCTCTTAATGTGCTCTTGATTAACCGGTTTAGGAGAAGACATCTCTTCTCACTACTCAATGAACGCGAAATTTTCAGTAATGTGAACTTTTTACCATGACTCACGGGTGATATATATGTGACTATCGGGAGGTTTTTATCAGGTATGCCATGAGATCTCTCGCGTGATTCTGGTGGAGATGGACTGGCGCCAAGCCGGGTTTCCAAAACACTTTCCCGATGTCGGCTGTATCGCGGGGTAGTGGGGAGGGCGATCACGGGGGCGGGATATAAGTGAGCGCTGATTTATTCGCAATTTAACCGCCAGATTAGCCGCAGAGTATACAGATTACTCATTACTGGATTAGAGAACTTTGTGGGCGAGCCATTAGTCCTGTGGAAACTGGAATTACCCGTAAACACGTCTGTGTTTAATTCTCGTTAACATTCCTTCATTTTTTTATGAGGAGATGTACCTAGGATGTTCATTTTCTGATGATAAGTTACAAGAAAATTTATATATACAACGTTTACATTGTGAATATTTTTACATTTGAGAAATTATTACCAACAAATTGTAGAGTATCTCGAATTTTCAAACATTGCATGAAAGTTTCATACAATTTGTAACAGTCAAGATTTTAGGAACAATTGTGTGAATTTTCATAAGTACTCTTCTTAATTGTTAGAAGATATATATTTTTTTAAATTTTGACGTGTATTATAGTTTCCGGAAAAAGAACAGAATGTTCGATAGCATAGTTATAAACATTTTTATGAAACTTATAAGAACGTCAAAATAAACCATTTTATTTTTTTAAGAAATATCCTGGCGCCAATAATTAACAGTTTAAGAGCACAGTGCTTTTAAAAGCTATGAAAAATATACCTTCATAGCTTATAGATACACTACTATATGAATGAAAATTTGAGAAGTGAATGAGTACGGTTCTAAAATAAATTTAATGTCAAACAAAGTTGAAGAGAGCAATTGAGGGACTTTTGACTGTATTCTGAGTAAAATCAATTTGGAGTTATGGTTTAAATTTAACTATTACTAAGTAACTTTTTACTCGGACTTGTTTCATGTTCTTTTTAAATTTTAATTTAAATACCTATTGTATTAAAGTCATAAACTACCAAGCTGCTACAGATCTGTTTTAGAAATAATATTTGAGGTCCCGATTAAAGAAATTGGTGAACTTATCAGACGAATAGATCACCATAACCTATATTGTTAGTTACAAATACGCAATTAAAGATAACAATTTAATTATCCGTTTATTCAACCAAATATTAATCGAGATTTAATATATTGTCTTTAATTATTGTAATTAAATCACTGCATTAAAATACAATTTTCACTAGAATAACCAGATAAACCAATACTTGTCCAACTCCAAAGCATACCATACGCCATACTGCCATCCACCACGCCACGATCACGAGATAACCTAATGGGACAATGGGAACAGACAAAGATAATGCATCTGGATATGTAGTAATGAGGATATTTACTGCTTTTCCCTCACACCGATTTTTTTACAGTGTAACAGAGAGTTTAAAAATTTTGGTACTATGTTTGGTATTTATGTAATTATTAATTAATAAAAGAAATATGCGCGAACTATTCACTTTTATTTCTGTTTTATTCCTAATTTTGACACTCTTTGCCAATTACTGGATATCCTATAAAAATGGTTACTATTTTGCTTAATCCCAAGTATGAGCTACTTGTAACAAAATATAATAGGTACCTCCAAGATTATAGCAAAAAGCACGTGCTTACTCGAAATCACACCATCCGTGGAAATTGGATTTATCTAGAATTTTCATATCCAGTAAAGTGCATAATTGTTTAAATCATGTCCTGTTATTGCAAGGTAAAATTAATCAAAGCTTATCTAAAGGAGCACTTTCTTGACAAACTCATTGAATTCAATTTAATAATTGCCAATAACTTTTTATTAAATTCTTTCTAAGTATTTATCAGAATTTATCAAAATATTAAAACTCAAAAATAGCTGAAATAGCAATTATTAAAAGCTATTTTATGTCAGTATGTATTTTTTACAGTAAACTAGAGTAATTACTTACACAAAAAAATTATAATTAAATAAACAATGAATAAATATAAGTATAGAACTATTTACAAACTTACAGAAACATTTGTCGTAGGAAATTAAGTCCAACTTTGTAAAAATATGTACCATTGTACCTATACCTATTTTTTGTTTACACCACCGATTATACTTACGAATTTGATTTTCTTCATAGCCAACAAAAAGCCTGTATGCCTGTAACAATGGCATCAGAGTCTGTTTAATAGTGCATCTGTTTTTAATAATCGGTTTTAATAATAATGGACAATTTCATACATTTTTTTTAAATTAGAGAAAAAAGACACGGCTCTGTTATACATTTGAAGATAAGTGTGACAAACTACATACTTTTATAAATCACCACCATCTTTTTAAATACTTAAGTCATGGACACCTACGGTTTTTATTAAAGAGGTGTTAGTTATTAAAATATTAAGTACTTTACTGCATCTATGCAAAAACAAACTATGAGATAAAGTATCATCAATCCAACTGTGGACACTAAAAAAACTTATAGAAAATTTGTTTTGCCTGAAGATTTATGTGGAAGTGGCTAACGTTCACGGAAACCATAACGTTCTATCTCTAATAATTGCTGAGATACCTTAGCATGATACACTTAGGTGCGTAGAATAATTCGAAAATATGGTGGTGATTAGCCAAAGAACAAATATATTGCTACATTTTTAACAAAATCTAACTAACTTACTGATTTATTTAGATATATATTTTTTATATTTAAGTATCCACAGAATATTCTGTAACCAGTACCTGTTATAAATTCATAAAACCTTTTTTTGGGCCATTTTAAGCCTTTTTTCTTTATTTATTGGGTATTTTGCTACCTGAGAAACAAATAAAAAAATTAATGAAAAACCCCTACTAAAAATAAATATTTTAAAGATTTTTTGCTTAAACAAGACTCTCACAGTGAATAAAGCAGACAAATATAAAATACACATCACTATGTAAAAGTATATCACTTCATTTTAAAAAGTTGTTAGTTGTTTACCTTTCGAAAATCAACATGTTTTCGTTTTCTCAGTGGATGGTTTTTCGTTTTTAAATATTTTTCTTTGTGTTAGTCAGGTTGAGAAGTTTTTCCAACATAATGCATATTGCACGTAAACAAGTATTTGAACTGCTCGATTAACCCAGAAGTCGGAGACTTGTGCGGGAGAGGAGGCGGCATATTATTATTACGCAGGCCGCATTTGCGCCCAGGAACGACTTATGTTGGTAGGCCCTAACCACCATTCAGTGCAGGAATGAGGGAAACCTGGAAAACCTCATTAATTACGGGGGTGGTCAAATGCCAACCGGTGTCAATCTCTCACATTGACCCAAGCCAACATTCTTCCACCCTACCATACATGCACACAGTAATGTGCTATTTGTCTTTTTTACTGTGAGATTTTTGGTCGGGAAAAACTATTTTCATAGAAAATAACTCTGGAATATTTTTTTGGAGCAAGGGTTTCAAATGCGGCAATAAATTAAAAAAACGAAACCTATGTCATAACTAAGTAACTTCAGATAATATTTTAAGTGTCTGTTTGACAGATACGTATGGGTCATTTCTTGCCTTTAATTAACCGTATCTTCAGCCCAAGTTTCATCAACCTAAACTGAACATCTTCAGGCATTGGATAACCTTAGAAAACACCCCGTATATTAACCAACGTTCCTGTGCTCTCTCTTGCTTCGGCTACGTAGGCAGGTACATATTTTTCTCTCAAACATCCCGTGCATGTGCCGCCTGAACGCTAGTAATCCCGATCCTTTAAGAACAGGATTATTGTGGTGGTTTTATGTAAGAGAAGGCACACACTTGTTGCTCAGTCGCCATGCATCACCCCACCACAGGCATTGATTGCTGCGGCCCCGCCCCTTCTGGTCCCATTGGCTCAGATATCTCCCTAATCATATCAGGATATCTTAGGCGACTTCAGGGGTACTACTGTTATCCTGAAATAGATACAGGAGCCGCAAGAAGTGTCGTTTGTCGTTAACGTGTTGAGGTAGAAGGGGGTTTAAGTTTGAAACTAATTACTTGATTTTGCTGAATACCTGTGTTACATGCATATGTATTGATGAATTAGTAATTAATTGCAAACGAAGAAAACAACGGTATGCTCTAGTATCTATTGTAGTATAAATTATATAGATATAGGAACTATATCTCAAATGATAATTGAGTGGAAGAAAAGTGCTTTATTTTGTCGTACAGAAAATTGGATCGCCGCGACTGACAATAAATAGTGAAAATGAACTAATAAAATATAGAAAATTTTTGGAAAAATTCCTTGTCTAAAGGATGTATACTTAAATTTTCCGAAATTAACTACTAATTGCAGATATTATTGAATCTATATTTCTAAAGGCTTAAGTAAATTGCAACTGCAAACGAACAACGTATCCACTTAGGATATATTAAATTATTAAATTCGTAGTATTTACAGGTATTTTTACACTTTCTGTTATTCTATTATTTATTAAGTTTTCTTGAAGAATGGTTGATAATGTATAGATTCATAGGTATATCTGTTCTGGTGTAACTTATTTCAACCATTTTAGGTAATATCTTTTTACACAGGAGAAATTCTATTTTCTTACATATACAGGTTCGGAAAGTACCGATGGTCCATCCGCCGTTACGTGAGAGCGATAAAGTAAGCCATAGAAATCCATGCGATTGAGAAGGATGGCTATAATGAAGGCATCTTATAGTCACCGCCCGTTTCGCCCTTCCACAAATAAGATCCACTTCTTATTTGTGGAAGGTCGAAATGGGCGGTGACTATTAGACGCCTTCATTATAGTCATCTTTCTCTATCGCACGGATTTCTATGACTTACTTTATCGCTCTCACGTAACGGCAGATGGACCATCGGTATTTTCCGACCCTGTATATCAACAGGGTGTCCCGCAAATACGTGTACCACGGAAGACCACAGATTTT